AAGTGACATAATTTCCTGTCCAGTGACAAGATTCCATACTTTACAAGTACGGTCTGGGGAGGAAACAAAAACAAAACAAAAACATTGCACCATCACAGCCAAAGAATTTCATTCATATTTTTACTGGTCGAAAGAGCTTTTTTGGTGGTATTTGATCAACACGGTTTTAAAACATCCAATGAAATCAAATTTCTTAATACATTTAGGTGAAAATTTATTCTGCTACATGTCTTTGGAAAAAAAACAAATCTGACATCTAACACTGCATTTTTGGGGACACTTGTATAGTTCTGATCATGATGAATATACTGATTCATGCAAACACTAAACTAGTAATATGGTTATAAAAGTGGCGATAGTGTGGCAGGCAATCTGGTGCTGACACTGGCTGGGAGGGACACTAACTGACAGACATGGCCGTCGTTAGCGACACGAATACAGTGATCATAATGTAACAATGATGCTGAATGGGTGACAGGAGAGATCAGAAGGGCACTCATAGGGTTAAAAGTGTGCCTAACAAGTGTATGTGTGCTGCTTTTACTTACAGATCTGGCTGGGTCTCTATTCACTTTCAGTTCAGAACAGTAACTGAAAGCAGGGATAAATCCAGCTAGAATCTGTGTGTTGTGTTTACAAACACACAGATCTCTGTGCTGTAATTGGCCACGGCTGATTAGCAGGTGTACAGCCAAAATCATTGGTGGTAACTTCCTGACAAATTTTTGCTGTGTCCAACCGTAGCAGGAGAGGCAGGGGTCACACATGCCTGTAAACCCGGAAGTTCGGTGCAATGTACGGGCACATCACTGAGCCCGGGGGGAGCCGCCCATCAGCAGTAAATGTATTGTTGGTGGTTAATGTGGCATTTATTATTTACTATTACTATGAAATAGTCAATGAAGTCCACAAACCCGCATGCACAAATAATAAAAATAGGAAGAAAAAGGAGTCCTTTAAAAGTTTTTATGTGTCAGTAAATAAGATTCAGCAATAAAGTCAAAAGAAAAAAAAAGTCCCTACTTCAGAAGACATTTATTCTCTTTGGGTTCTGTAAATATCACACTATCATTGCTTTATTTAAACAAATTCCTTTAACTACTTGCCGACCGCAGATAGCCGAATGACGGCTGCACTGCGGCCGGCCAGTTCTGGGTGGACGTCATATGACGTCCTCCCAGAACGCGCCCCCGGCGATCTCCGTGATCGCTGTGTCCTACGGACACAGCTGATCACGTGACGTGGTAAAAGGCCAAGCACAGCAGCCTTTTACCACGTGATCAGCCGTGTCCAATGACACGCTGATCACCGGGAAATGCAAATGCCGGTTCTCAGCTGCACTTTCCTCACGCTGTCAGATCGTGAGGAAAGTACTGCCGAAAACCGGCAGTTGTCAGAGCGGGGATCGGCACCGATCATCAGGGTCACTGATCATCAGTGCCCTGATGATCGGTGCTCAGCAGTGCCACACACAAGTTCCGCCCACCCTGTGCCCAGCAGTGCGCCCACCTGTGCCCAACAATGCTCCCACCTGTGCCACCCAGCAGTGTCACCACCTGTGCCACCCAGCAGTGTCACCACCTGTGCCCAGAAGTGCCACCTACCTGTGCCCACCACCTGTGCCCACCAGTGCCGCCCAGCAGTGCTGCCAGGCAGTGCCCAGCAGTGGTGCCAGTCAGTGCCCAGCAGTGATGCCAGTTAGTGCCCAGCAGTGCCCAGCAGTGATGTCAGTCAGTGCCACCTATTAGTGCTGTCTATCAGTACCCATTATCAGTGTGCATATCAGTGCCACCTATCCGTGACACCTCATTAGTGCTGCCTATCAGTGCCGCCTATCCGTGCCACCTCATTAGTGCAGCCTATCAGTGCCCTTCAGTGCTGCCTATCAGTTCCCATCAGTGCTGCCTATCAGTGCCCATCAGTGCTGCCTCATCAACGCACATCAGTGAAGGAGAAAAATTACCTGTTTGAAAAATTTTATAATCGAAACAAAGAAACTTTTTTTTTTTTTTCAACATTTTTTGCAATTTTTGCTTACAGCACAAAAAGTAAAGTGCCCAGCAGCGATTAAATACCACCAAAAGAAAGCTCTGTTTGTGAGAATAAAATGATAAAAATTTCATATGGGTACAATCTTGCATGACCGCGCAATTGTCAATCAAAGTGCGACAGCGCTGAAAGCTGAAAATTGGCCTGGTAAATAAGGGGGTATAAGTGCCCAGTAGGCAAGTGGTTAAATGATCCATCACTTTCAATTCCCAACTGTCAAGTTACACATGCATGTAAATGTAATTTATAATACACATTTTACGAAGACATTATTGGGATTATTTTTCTCTAGGAAACAGCTCTGTTTTAAGTGTTTTTTTAATGTTTATTTTCCATTTGGAGCTAGTGCGGAAAAAACTAAAATCAATGGCTCAATGCCTTTTCTGGAGCGAAAATCAATACATACTCAACTAGCATTTATCTGATTTCAGGACTGAAAACATCTGTCTATAAAATGCATAGTGAGTTGTTTGGCTTACTGCTGAAGCCTGTGCATCTGGAAGTGTCTCAAGAGAATAGCCAACTTTACAAAACATTACAACTGAGGGAAAAGAAATTATATCAACGCTGGCAAAACTAGTAAACATAAATGTACTGTATTCTGCGTACATCATGTTATCATTATACCGGAGTTTAAAGTACCCCTTTAGAAGTGTGAATACAAAATTTGTTTATATGAAGACAAGGCTAGAGGTGCTGAGTAACCCAAAACTGTTCTGAAATCTGACCGTTCTACAGTATCTCACAGAAGTTAGTACACCCCTCACATTTCTGTAAATATTTTATTATATCTTTTCATGTAACAACACTGAAGAAATGACACTTTGCTACAATGTAAAGAAGCGAGTGTACAGCTTGTATAACAGTGTAAATTTGCTGTCCCCACAAACTAACTGAACACACAGCCATTAATGTGTAAACCGCTGGCAACAAAAGTGAGTACACCCCTAAGTGAGAATATCCAAATTGGTGGCCACCATTATTTTCCAGCACTGCCTTAACCCTCTTGGGCATGGAGTTCACCAGAGCTTCACAGGTTGCCACTGGAGTCCTCTTCCACTCCTCCATGACGACATCACAGAGCTGGTGGATGTTAGAGACCTTGCGTTCCTCTACCTTCTGTTTGACCATGCTCCACAGATGCTCAATAGGGTTTAGGTCATGCTTGGCCAGTCCATCCCCTTTACCCTCAGCTTCTTTAACAAGGCAGTGGTCATCTTGGAGGTGTGTTTGGGGTCGTTATGTTGGAATACTGCCCTGCGGTCCAGTCTCCGAAGGGAGGGAATCATGCTCTGCTTCAGTATCTCACAGTACATGTTGGCATTCATGGCTCCCTCAATGAACTGTAGCTCCCCAGTGTCGGCAGCACTCACTCAGCCCCAAACCATGACACTCCCGCTATAATGCTTGACTGTAGGCAAGACACACTTGTCTTTGTACTCCTCACCTGGTTGCTGCCACACATGCTTGACACCATCTGAACCAAATAAGTTAATCTTGGTCTCATCAGACCACAGGACATGGTTCCAGTAATCCTTGTCCTTAGTCTGCTTGTATTCAGCAAACTGTTTGCAGGCTTTCTTGTGCATCATCTTTAGAAGAGGCTTCCTTCTGAGACGACAGCCATGCAGACCAATCTGATGCCGTGTGCGGCATCAGATCTGAGCACTGACAGGCTGACCCCCCCCAACCCTTCAACCTCTGCAGCAATGCTGGCAGCACTCACACGTCTATTTCCAAAGACAACTTATGGATATGACGCTAAGCACATGCACTCAACTTCTTTGGTCGACCATGGCAAGGCCTGTTCTGAGTGGAACCTGTCCTGTTAAACTGCTGTATGATCTTGGCCACCGTGCTGCAGCTCAGTTTCAGGGTCTTGGCAATCTTCTTATAGCCTAGGCCATCTTTATGTAGACCAACAATTCTTTTTTTCAGATTCTCAGAGTTATTTGCCATGAGGTGCCATGTTGAACTTCCAGTGACCAGTATGAGAGAGTGAGAGCGATAGCCAAATTTAACACACCTGCTCCCCATTCACACCTGAGACCTTGTAACACTAACAAGTCACATGACACCAGGGAGGGAAAACTGCAACAAGAAAGTGCAACTACGGCAGGCAATATATTATGCAATTTTCCTTCCTTCAACCACAGGTTGAAGGAAAGAAGATTGCTCAATTCCTCCATCAACAAAGTATTTGTTGATGGGGGCATCCCTCCTGCAGCGCAATTGTGTTTTGCTGGCAGGGAGCACAGGCAGGTTTTCTAGATAGCACAATACAACGATAACGATTGGCGGCAAAAATTAGGTTGACAAGTGAGAAGGCTCCACTCTACAGACTTCAAATATAATATTGTTTATTTTTTACCAAAAAGCTCAACTTTTGCCCCATCTGTCCAGAAGACATTGTCCCAGTAATGCCGTGGTACAGCTAAAAGGTCTTAAAGCAGAACTAAACTAAAAAAAAAGTGAACATTTGCTATATTATAGGAAAAGTTTAGAAATGTTAATGGTACCCATGCAGTACCCTGAAAAATATAACTTTTGTATGGAATTTATTCTGAGAAATAGCAGTGTACTTCCTGGTATGTGTGCCTCTACACAGTTTCTGCAAACATGTAGCTGTGTATCTGCAGTGTGAAATCCAAGAAATTTCTGCCTCTGACTGCTAGTCTCAGGCGATTTGGAGTAAGATTTCGGAATGTCACTACTGTTCTGTTTACTGTTTCCTTGTTTGGATACTCTGACTTGAGGAAACTCTGTTTCTACAAAGATGGCTGTCCCAACAGAGACACAGTGGCGCACAGGGCACAGTAATTCAGTTATGGGGAAAAGATCAAGTGCAAAGAGATGACAGGAAAAAGAGGTGACTAGTCTGTTGCCCTATGCCTGTCTTGATTTGGACACTGCTTCTGGAGTTCAATACTTTTTTAATCAAATATGAAAGAAGCAGAAATGTAATTTTTTGTTCGTGATTTCCCTTGACAACCTCCCAAAAACACCACACTTGTTATTTTTTTTTTTTTTTATGCTAGTTGAACAATTTTCTTATGATAAGAAAGTTTTAAGTTTTGCGCACTGATAATTTTAGAAGCACACTTCTAGTCTAGGGAGAGAAGCAATGGTCCTTCTTCAGTCTTAAACCTCAGAGAGATAGAGGCCTAAGCCTATATAAAGGCTTTCATTGACTGATATGAACAGTGTCTAAAATTAGTATTAAATAAATGAAGAAAGCAAATCTAAAAACTATACAGTGCTCAAATTCATCAGATAAATCATACAAATCATCTAATGTCTAGAACTACTCTTAAAGCTGTATTAAACCCAAAACCAAAAATGTAATATATTGCAACTTACCAATCCTTATATGTGGTGGCTGCATTAGTTATACAGTGAGGAACAGAAGTTTTTGAACACCCTGCGACTTTGCAAGTTCTCCCACTTAGAAATCATGGAGGGGTCTGAAATTCACATTGTAGGTACATTCCCACTCAGACAGAATTTTAAAAAACAAATTCAGGAAATCACATTGTATGATTTTGTAAAGAATTTATTTGTCTTGCACTGTTGAACATAAGTATTTGAATGCCTGAGAAAATCAGTGTTATTATTTGGTAAAGAAGCCTTTGTTTGCAATTACAGAGGTCAAACGTTTCCTGTAGTTCTTGACCAGGTTTTCACACACTGCAACAGGGATTTTGGCCCACTCCTCCACACAGATCTCCTCTAGATCTGTCAGGTTTCGGGGATGTCGCTGAGCAACACGGAGCTTCAGCTCCCTCCAAAGATGTTCTATTGGATTTAGCTCTGGAGACTGGCTAGGCCACTCCAGAACCTTGATATGCTTCTTATGGAGCCACTCCTTGGTTATCCTGGCTGTGTGCTTCGGGTTGTTATGTTGGAAGACCCAGCCACGACCCATCTTTAATGCTCTGACTGAGGGAAGGAGGTTGTTGCTCAAAATCTCACAATAAATGGCCCCATTCATCCTCTCTTAATACAGTGCAGTAGTCCTGTCCCCATCACAGAAAAGCACCCCCAAAGTATGATGTTACCACCCCCATGCTTCACAGTAGGGATGGTGTTCTTGGGATGCAACTCATCCTTTTTCCTCTAAACACGACGAGTGAAGTTTAGACCAAAAAGTTCTACTTTGGTCTCATCTGACCACATGACTTTCTCCCATGCCTCCTCTGGATCATCCAGATGGTCATTGGCAAACTTCAGACGGGCCTGGACATATGATGACTTGAGCAGGGGAACCTTCCGTGCAATGCATGATTTGAAACCATGACGGCGTAGTGTTCTACCGACAGTGACCTTTGAAACTGTGGTCCCAGCTCTCTTCATGTCATTGAACACCTCCTCCCTTGTAGTTCTGGACTGATTCCTCACTTTTCTTATCATCAGTGATACCCCACGAGGTAAGATCTTGCATGGAGCCCCAGTCCGAGGGAGACTGACAGTCGTCTTTAGCCTCTTCCATTTTCTAACAATTGCTCCAACAGTTGATCTATTTTCACTAAGTTGCTTGGCAATTGCCCCGTAGCCCTTTCCAGCCTTGTGGAGGTTCACAATTTTGTCTCTGGTGTCTTTTGACAGCCCTTTGGTTTGCCCATGGTAGTAGTTGGCGTCTGACTGAATATGGAGTGGACAGGTGTCCTTAAAGAGCTGAGACAGGTGCTACCAAGTTAGATTAATGAGTGGAGTAGAGGTGGACTTTTTAAAGGCACAGTAACAGGTATTTGAAAGCCAGAATTCGTGCTGTTTCTTAGGTGTTCAAATACTTATGTTCAGCAGTGCAAGACAAAAATTCTTTAAAAATCATACAATGTGATTTCCTGATTTTTTTTTTTTAATTCCGTCTCTCAGACTGGGAATGCACCTACAATGTGAATTTCAGACCCCTCCATGATTTCTAAGTGGGAGAACTTGCAAAATCGCAGGGTGTTCAAATACTTCTGTTCCTCACTGTATGTTCTAAGCTTTTTCCCCTCTATGTTTACCTGGTGATCTGTCCAGCAACACACTGTGTGAAGGGCGCCTATACTCTGGATAAAGGAGCACCAAGACACTTTATGACATGAGCGTTATCTGGGAAGAGGGTAGTGTTAGATCAGGGGTTCCTAACCCTCTTGATCTGATCTCGACTCATTGTTGGGTCATGTTTACCATTTAAATTTGTATCATTGTTTTCTGTGCAACTTTTGCCAATCCATCATAGGTGTGAGTTTCTGTTATGATTGTCTCCTTTATTTAAACTTTGTGTATGTCATATATGTATGAGGCAATTTTCAATAAAAGTACATACTGTATATTCATTGCATGCAAAGTTGTGTTCATATGGAGGGGGTCCATAGCTTTCATTGGATTCTTATTCCACGACTCATAAAAGGTTAAGAACTACTGTGTTGTTGTAAACCCTTATATATACCCAGAGAAGTGAATAGCCCCCAGTGATACACAAGGATGAAACAAATCCTCTTACATAAGTTTTACTTCTCTATCTGCATTCTTCTCTAGCAAATCTTCTGCATTTGTCAGCATCACAGAGACAGGGGCAGGGAGCTGGATCCCAGGGAAGGGATCTACCCCCCCCCCCCCCCTTACACACCCACACACCTTGTTGAACAGCAACAGACTTACTGGTTGGATCGCCAGGTGAAAATAAAGGGGTAAAAAAGCCTAAAAAAGGAAAACAATGCAGCCAACACCTCTAAGAACTGGTAAACTGCAATGCTCCTGATTTAAAAAAATAACTCCAGTGTTTGCCAGCATCGCTAACTGTTGCATATTTAAAAAGGGAAATATAGTCAGTAATGGGTAACTCAAAGAATAAACATGACATTTTCAAAAAAAAAATCACCAAGATTATTGGAACAATTTATAAACTACAATGTTACAGTATAGATTACATTAGTACATATATGCCGTAAAAGCAAAGTAAAATAGTTAAGACCAATGGCACACAGCACAGATCAGAAAGTCATACATTATTAGCTGTCAGCAAGTCTTTACACAAGGGGAAATAATGTGGCTGACCTTTAGATCCAGTGAAAAGAAGATCATCAGTAGCATCTACACAAAGCACAGCCTTGTTGTGCCCTTCAGCTATATGCATACACTGTACGAGAGATGTCTTGTTACTTTTGCTAGTAGGAAATGGGTTAATTATGCCCCTAGAGATAAGGAAAAAAAAAAAAAAAAAAAAGCACACGTGTGTTAACATTGCTCATTACGTGAAATCTCCCAACTTCACGTTCTCAGCTTCCAGACGTATTTATCTATACATGCGGTCACTAATATCTGAAATGTCGTCATCAGGCTTTGGAGCACAAAAGGAAAGTGTCAGGTTTCTTTTTCCACAACATTTATGGAGAGCATTGTCCACTTTGTTGTCATCTAATATTTCATAAAACTTAAAAAAAAAAGCTTCATAATAATGTAGTCTTCACTGAATTTCTTGGGCCTCGTTTACACTCACATTGTCCTCTGAAGAGCAATACGCATTGATATTGTTTTTCATAGGACATTTGACAGGCGGAGGGGAGGCGTTACAGTGTCCTGTCACCACCTGTGTTAATCCCTTAACCAGTGCATCGCAACTATGTGTATTACACATGGTTGCAGGGCACCCCCATTTAGCAGAGATCATCCTTGCTGCACTACCATGCATCACAGCTGCAGCATATATACACCCCTCTCTGCTCCACGTTTTTACTGTGTAAACGAAGCCTAAGTCTTCATATCTCTAAGAGCTGTATTAACCATATTATTAACTTAATAGGTAAATCACATTATGGCCCTATACATTTGAGCTTCAGCTTGTACAAGAAGAAAGTGTGTACAGAAAGCTTTTACGCCTGTGGGGTAGGACAGATGAGACCGATCTCGTGACCCAATCATAATGAGACTGAGAACAGTCTGAAAGTTCAGTCACTGTGCTAAGAGTGCACACTGAAACCTCTTCAGTCCATGTATGCATATGTATGCTGTGTGGCAATTAAAACCCAACCTCTTGCAGCTGCACATGTGCGTTACATGGGCGGCAAGAGGTTAAACTAGCTGTTAGCAGATATAAAGAGTAAAGGATCGCTGCTACACCTGACCAGCCCAGGTGAATAAACGTTAAAGAGAGACCTCAGCCTACATGTCTCCACCAAAGCACACACCCTAATACTTTTCCCCCTACCCACTGACCCTGTGACTAAGCCCTGCTGGGTGGGGTGAAATACATTCCGGAACCCCCACTAGCAAGGGATTAGAACACATATCATTATACCTGTTATAACCTCAATAGTGTAAAATCTGGTAATCCAAGTAGGATCAGCTGCTAGGCATTTCAAAACCTAACATCTCATCAGTTTTGGGTGGGCTTGGCCTTAAAAAGAGTAAAAACTACATGAAATATGATCTTTATGACATCTCATGAATATCAGAGTCCTTCCATTTCCTGCAAGTCATTAAGCACTACTTTGGCTGTCTGAGTTAATTCAATAAAGACCTCTGAATGTGTAGTGTTGCCTACCAGCAGGCCAACATTCATTTGAGCTAGTGTACATTTTTGTTCTAGAACATGACAAAGACCAGTATCTTCAACATTTGCTGTGAAAAAAGAGGAATCTTGTATAGCATGCTATACAGTTGTAAAACATAAAAATGTAAGCACAATTGTCAAAACACCACTTTCCTGGAATACTAAAAAAAAGCTGTTAAATAGCATGCAACACAATAACACAAGCTGCAAAAAAATAATAATTAAAAAAAAAAAGTTTCTAACAGATCAGATCTGACACATTGAATATTGGGCATCACATTGGTAGTAACAGACAAAGAAAATAGGCATCATGCAGAAGAGCAGCGTTACTTGCAACAAGGAAAACAGGTGTACAAGGAAGGAAATTTGTACCTGTGTACCTCGGACAGAGAGGAATCACTTTCATCAGACCTATAAAGATCAGTAGTAGAGTGCAAGGGGAAAGAATACAGATATCAGAAAGATAAAGACTGCTTGTTGGATAGGAAATACAGAAAAACTCCAGACAAGACAAAGTGCACTGACATGGTCACATATCTTTTTTTAACAGTCCAAACGATCTGTATTTGTCTGTGTTGTACTAGTTAAAACAGGGTCCTTGATTCACAAGCAGTGGGCACGCACACTACTTAAATGCAAACCTTTGCTTAGTCAGTACCAGTACAGTGATTCTGTTACCACACCATAATAGCAAAATTTCATATATGTATTTGGAGACTATGTATCTTGTTCACATCATAACAAATGATCATCCAAGCATACACAAAAATAATGTAAGAAGGTCTTTAGGGCAGTAACAGTGGTTTTAATGAGGTCTTAATATCCATTTAAACACAAAAAATTGATGTAGCGCTGCCCCTATAGTCCTATGCAATATGAGAACAAATGTGCATGCTTGCACTATAGTGCACCTCAATCTAAACCACAATATCCCTAATGCATAGAAAAATGCCGCAATGTAAATATTATATATGTGTGCGTGTGTGTGATCCACTCTACCTAAATAATGTAATGAATAAAAATTGTATGCATGTAGAATCCGTTTGATACTTTGAACTATAGTACACCTCCCCTAACCTCACAATATACCTTATAAAAAAAAATCAGTGCTACATTAATACATAATAATACAAGTTAAATAAAAATGTGAACAATACACAAAAAGTCTCTAGGCCTTTGGGACAATTTTAGTTTTTTTCAGGTATTTACCAAATCATATTCAAGCTATAGTTATATAATGGATATGGGCTGAAAGTGCTCACTACACTCTCAAGTTTAATTTGAGGGTATGTACATTCAAATTGGAGGAAGGGTTTAGAAATTACAGCTCTTAAGAATAGCCACCCCCCTTTTTCAAGGAACCAAAATCAATTGGACAACTGAATCAAAAGCCGTTTCATGGCCAGGTGTGGGCTACTCCATCATTTCTTCATCAATTAAGCAAGTAAATGGTCTGGAGTTGATTCTAAGTGTGGATTTGCATTTGGAATCTATTGCTGTGAACCTACATCATGCGTTCAAAGGAGCTGTCCATGCAAGTGAATCAGGCCATTGTAAAGCTTCAAAAACGAAAAAAATCCATCAGAGAGATAGCAGCAACATTAGGAGTGGCCAAATCAACAGTTTGGTAGATTCTGAGGAAATAAGAATGGATTGGTGAGCTCAGCAACATAAAAAGGCATGGACGCCCATGGAAGACAACAGTGGTGGATGATTGCAGGATCCTTTCTATGGTAAATAAAAACCCATTCACAACATCCAGACAAGTGAAGGACACTCTCCAGGAGGTGGGCGTATCATTGTCAAAGTCTACAATCAAGAGCCTTCACAAGAGCAAATACAGAGGGTTCACCACAAAGTGCAAAACCATTCATAAGCCTGAAGAATAGAAAAGCCAGATTAGACTTTGCCAAAAAACATATATAAAAGCCAGACCAGTTCTGGAAAAGCATTCTTTGGACAGATGAAACTAAGATGAATCTGTACCAGAATGACAGGAAGAAAAAAAAAAAAGTGTGGAGAAGGCTTGGAACAGCTCATGATCCAAAGCACACGTCATCTGTAAAACATGGTGGAGGCAGTGTGATTGCATGGGCATGCATGGCTTCCAGTGGCACTGGGACATTGATGTTTGATGTGACAGAAGCAGCCAGATGAATTCTGCTGTGTTTAGAGATATACCGTCAGCCCAGATTCAGCCAAATGCAGCAAAGTTGATTGGACGGCGCTTCACAGTACAGATGGACAATGATCCAAAACACGATGCAAAAGCAACCCAGGAACTTTTGAAGGAAAAAAAAGTGGAATATTCTGCAATGGCCGAGTCAATCACCTGATCTCAACCCAATGGAGCATGCATTTCACTTGCTGAAGGCAAAACTAGAGGCAGAAAGACCCACCAAGAACAACTGAAGACAGCTGCAGTTAGAGCCTGGTAAAGCATCAGAAAGGAGGAAACCCAGTCTTTGGTAATGTCCATGGGTTCCAGGCTTCAGACAGTTATTGCCAGTAAAGGATTCTCAACAAAATACTAAAAATGAACATTTTATTTATGATTATATTCAATTGTTCAATTACTTTTGGTCCTTTAAAAAAAAAAAGGGGGGGATGGCTACTCTTAAGAGCTGTAATTCCTAAACCCTTCCTCCATTTTTGGATGTACCTACCCTCAAATTAAACCTGAGAGTGTGCACTTTCAGCCCATATCCATTATGTAATTATAGCTTCAATATGTTTTGGTAAATACCTGAAAAAAAACTAAAATTGTGCCTGTGTCCAAATATATATGGACCTAACTGTATATATATTTTATTTACATTGCGGCATTTTCTATGCATCAGCGATATTGTGGTTTAGAGGGAGGTGCACTATAGTGTGAGCATGCACATTTGGTGCTCATATTGTATAGGACTATAGAGGCAGCGCTACACCAGTTTCTTGTGTTTGTTTGTGCACACCCTTTTTAGGACAGCAGCCGCTCATTTACTTAATTCTGTTGCATGGAATCTCTCTTTTTGCTTCTTAATATCCATTTAATCATGATGACCCAGACACCACTGCACTCAAAGTAGCATTTTTGGACAGACTTACCCATTGATGACAAAAAAGAAAAAAATTAACACCACTGTTCTTCCCTTAGAATTGGAGATTTATGTTTTTATAGGACATGTATCAAATTAACTCTCTCATGAAAACAAAAGATAAAAATCAGACTTGCACCCCTACAAGGCTCTCAATGACAAAACAAGGTTAGCTGGCGGGTATCAAAGCTTATCATCATAAAGCTAAAGTTTTACAAGAAATCCGTCTTATATACAGCTTCTTAAAGTAAACCTGTCTAAATAAAGTCATGAAGGGAAACACACGTTATTGGCAAGAGCCCAAAATAAAATAGCACATTGCTTTTTGGCTAAATTTCCTTTTCAAACCTGGGAATGTCAGTATGCAAATAGCGGTTTCAGCACTTGTCCTGCATCCCACTTCATGCCCTACTAGAGAACTGCACCCACTTCTGCAAGGGGTGAAACCGTTTCAACAAGCATCAGAATTATTTTATCTAATCAATATTTTTTTTATTCAATTTTTTTTTCTTTTATGAACACGTCAAAAAAAAAACCTCAGTATAAACCAAACCGCTTTTTGCCTATTGAATGCTGCAGAAGTCCTTAAAACCCCCAGTAATACACAAGTAGGAGGGAAGAGATATGCCCCCTTTGTGGTCATCATTGAACCATTTAGTTGGCTTCACAAGTTAACAGGTTTACTTTGTGCCACATACAAAATAGATGTAATAGATGAGTACGTTAAAATGGTGTAAATGGTTAGTTAATTAATAGCATGGAGGAGTTCAGAAATGAGAAAATATGATATGGTGTAAAACTCCTTGTAAGACATCCCACATGTGTGCCCTCAGTAATACTGAAAAACAGAAGAAAAAAGGCTGATGGACAGGTTGGCTTCTGTAACACAAACCGAGTAAGCACTGACTTTTTGATCTAAATTGTGAGACACAAACAGATGCAATACATAACAACCTTCCGCAGATCTAGACCAGCCTTTCTCAACCAGGGTGCCCTGGCACCCTGGGGTGCCTTGAGGTTTCTTTAGGGGTGCCTTGGCAAAATGTCTAAAATTTGCCCAAAACTTGTATACAAGCCAGCCTTTAATTACACAAAGCCCCAGATTTTCACTGTGCGCCATTAGGACCTTCTAGCCTCCAGTGTCCTGACAACAAATGATGTCATCAGTTGATAAGGAGGATGTCAGTTGCCTGCACAGCATCCTAGTTTGACACACCCCTGCCCCTCTCCATCAGTGCTGGGGTCACATCTGGTCAGTGATGGAGAAAAACTGAGGGAGAAGAGAAACATTGTAATACTAGTCGGTAACAGTGTGCAAAAATGTATTTGATTTGGAAGAATAAATCACCTCCAATGTTGGGTGTCCTACATGTGTGGATGTCGTTGCGTTATATGAAACTATTAGAATAGTTTTTACATTTTAGAATGGGGTGCCTCTGGACTGTTTATAATTTTAGAGGGTCCCTTGACCGAAAAAAGGTTGAGAACCACTGATCTAGACATATGGAAGCTCCCAAAAACAAAACAAAAAAACGGCACTCTAGCCGAACTATGCAGGAAGGACATTACAGACTTACCTACTGTAAGTGAGTTGTAATAATGCCATTGTCATTTTTGAAATGATATATTGTGAGAGGTCTATTTTAAATTGCAATTTGCTTCATATAATGTTTTTTCTCCATACAGGGCAAGGTAGCAACAAATTTAAAAAATTGATAAGAAAATAAATGGGTACACAGAATTGACCTATTGGTAATTTACTGCGGACGTTACTCTAGATATTGGTTAATGACACTGCTGAGAACACCCCGTCTTTTAGATTTTACAAAAACATTGGCAGAATATGGTGTTTGCTAAAATTCATTTTAGCGTAGGTTTCCTGAAAATAGGCGTTTGATAAATAGCAACACAAATTATGCAACATAAAATTTGCAACTACCGCCATTGTATTCTCCAGTCTCTGCTTTCATAAAATATATACAGTTTGGAGGTTTCAAGTGAATCTCTTGCAAAAAAAAAAAAAAAAATGCTGATTATAATGTGCAAACAAAATTAAAAATTGTCCACTAGAAAGTAGCTAATAAAGGCCAACATAAGACCCAAAGATGCATGATTTACTCATTAATTCCTGTTTTTTTAAGACATATACAAAGCTCTCCATGCTCCATGTAACTATCAAATAATGGTATCATGTCGGAAAGGAAGGAAGAGTCATTTTTGGGAAAACTTGCACGTGCATGAGCAGGTAAATACCAGTGCAATGAAGCACTGGCATTTACTTGAGTACACAGGCATATTTTACTTTATACTAGGCATATTTAATGCCTAAAA